CGATACTATAGATAGAGATATAGTCATACCAATGATAATCATGTAGACAATGAGCACGCCGAGGTTGTTGACTAAAACCGATACCTGCAACAAAATCTTTCCATATTTTCCAAAGGCATCTCCCATAAGACCTCCATAAGAAGCAGACTTCCCTGCCCTGCTGAACCTAAGTATCAGTTCGATCGACGCCTCGGTCAAGAACGCCATGAAGATGATCATGGAGATCCCAAGGACAAGGCCCAACACTTTCATGGTGGCAGGCAGAGCCATGATCCCAGCACCAACAATGGTGGTGGATAAATTAAACACTGCCCCAGTAAAGGAAGCTCCATTGAACTCATCAAACCCTGCATCTTCCACTTGCTTTTTTGGCAACAAAGGAGCATTCTCATCAATCACTTCTTTGTGCTTTCTTGACTTCTTCTCCTTCTTTGGAGCAAGACTTCCAATTGTCATATTTTTAATATCTCAAAACAGATCTTCCAAAACAAAGGTTTGAAGCTTATGGGAAATCCAGAAAGCAGCTCAACCACCCAACCAGTACTCTCTTTTTTTTCTTTCAGAAAACTCAAGCTAAAGAGTAAAGATTTTCAGACAAAACAGCAAAAAATTCACCAATATCCAAATCTTTGTGAGAGTAAAAAGGCTAACCTTTTGCAAATGATACCAAATTCAAAGGAAAACCAAATCCCAGGAGTAAAAGTAGCCAAATTTACCCTAAAGTATCAGAATTTAATTGAAAATCCAAGTAGCTGAAGGTGGATTTTTACAATCTTTAGCTGGATTTTTGATATGAACAAGGGGAGAAAAACCAAAACCCAATTTCCCAATATGCAAATTTGAGAAAACCCAGCTCTCCCAAAAACCAAAACCAATGAAAACCCAGAATTCAAAGACCCAATAACCTTGCAAAGATAAGCTAACCCAAAAACCAATGAAAACCCAGAATTCAAAAGTCAATAACTGAACAGACCCAGTAATCACAAGGAAACGTGACTGAATTTTTCAGGGGAAGCTTCGATCTTTTATAGCCCAATTGAATGGAAATGGAAGGAAAGAGAAGGGCACACGCAAATTATAAAGTTTTTGATATTGAAATACAATAACGGAGGTGGAGACAAAACTGCAATTTAATAATTTATTTGGGGATTTTTAACTTTTTTGTGGAATTATTGTGGATTGGTGAAACGACGATGAAACCCTAATCCACAGAATTCCACAAAATTGTGAAATTGGGGGATTTTTGTGTGAAATTTACGGACTTTATAGAGTAGAAGTAAAGGCGTCCGCTATTGTCTAACGTCAAATGAGGAGCTTTGTTTATTCACACAGATTTTTTATTTCTTATAGATTCTCGTTAATTCTTATTTTTTATTTAAATTCGTTTGATTCGACGGTAGAAAAATAAAAAGGTATATAAAAAATAAAAATAAGTGTGTGAATAGTTTCACCTTATTTAAACCGGATTACGGATCACAGAGTTTAATTGAGATTAATCTAAATTACATTGAAGAAAATCCGAACTTATATGCATAGTAGAAGAAACTTAATCGTTTTAGTTAATTTGGTTTTAATTCAAGTCTGCGAAATTGAAATATCATTAAAATGTTCAGAAAAGATTTTATGGTTGTTGCAACTTGCAACACTTTGAAACTTTCCATGGTACCCAAACAAAATGAAGAAAAATGTTGCTTTTGTTGTGAATAATATGTGAATAGCTCACATGAATAGTCTGTTACTATTTATGTACAATATTTTCATTATTTATTTGTGAAAATTTTGTAAAATGAATAGTATTGATACAATAACTTTTTCTATAAAATGAAAGCATATGAAGGAAGAGTAGTGAGAGACTCACGGTAGAGAGAGAAAGGAAAGAAGAGGAAGAGAGAAAGGAAAGGAAGAGGAGAGGAAATAATTGAGAGAGTTATCTTTATATTCCTATTATTCTAAATTATAATGAAAGCACCAATGCTGCCCCGAGAACGTACTCCAGTCACAGATGAATCTCGTAAATTCTGTGTATTGTTTCATTTATTCCACTGCACACACCATCGATTTTACAACAGTTTTCTCAATTTTCTATGGTTTTCATGGTAACATACTGAACTAACTTTGGATTGTATTTAATATTATACAAATCAAAATTTTACCTTTATTATACTCTGAATCTCTTATTATGCTTACAATAATGACAACAACCAAATGTTATCTCATTAAGTGTGTCGGTTTAAATAATCCTAGAACGTTTCTCTCAGTTTTGCGCAAAGTTTTCCATTACCTTCAAATACTCTATATATGTTTTTTTAAAGTCTCTTTCAAGTCTTCCTAGATTTTTCTTTACTTTTTTTTGCCCTGACCCTCTGTCTCAAAGTTGCATCTTATAACCAAAGAAGAATATGTAGTCTTCAGTCCACATATTTAGACCACTTTAATCGATTTACTATCATTTTATTTTTAATTGCCGCTAATTCTACTTATTTTTAACACTTTTTGTATTAGTAGATATTGCAAGCAAATGTATGCCACAAATTATAAAAAGATTAGAGTTGATGTCATCCAAGGTGTAAAGGTCGAATTGATTGAACACTGCATTAGTTTAATATGTGGCTTTCTCTAACGTAATTATGAACGTCAATTCAATTTTGGAATTTCTCATTGAGTGGGCCAAAAATCGATACATAATCAAATTATAATATTTGTAAGACATTTCTCATAAAATGATTAGAAATTTTGTATTATAGTGTGAGAGCTCTTTCAATCAAACAGTCTTACCCAATATTTCTAAATTTCTGACACATCGAAAATCACCAACGTTCAAACTTTAAAAAGGACTTTCGGAATGCTAGAAATGGTGAGATAAACTCTGTTTTTACTAAATTTATTGAATGAAAGGTTGATGAATACAAGGTCTAAGAAAGTTTATATGGGCCTGCTCACCAAATGACAAAGGAAAACAAAGCGGCAAACTATGAAAATTATAAAACAACCCCAATTATTAGTAAATTGTAGTTTTGACCCTCTAAACGACTTCAAACACCCAAAATTCTTCGCATGTTATCGTGAAACGTTTTGTATAATTCGTCTTGCCGTATCGCCACCAGAATGATTCAACAGGCCAAATTCTGACTCTAAGATCAAAAGTTGCACTAAACCAAATTTGTACCGTTACACACCTCTTCTACGACCGTCCTAAACTGGGTTTGTCCCTTTAAACCCCTCTTTTACCTAACATTACATAATCATCCTAGTAAGCGGATCCTTTCCACCAAGGCACATAATTCGAGCTTTTGAAATTTGATCAAACGGCTACAAACAAGAATCCACTTTAAAAGTTATAATAACTCTAACCATTAAATTAAATTTCAAATGTTCGGATTGTATACCTTAATAAACTTGGTAGAAATGTTCCGGAGGGGATCCTTTCCCATCCTAGTAAGATTACATTAAAAAAGAAGACCAATAAGGTGATTAAGATATATAATATAAACATGAGGTGGTGGTTGCACCACGTGTGAAATTGGTGGTGCTGTAACTACAACTACAAGGAATCTTTTAGCAGTTCCTCCTTAACTCTTCTTCTTACGTCAGCTAATCATGATTGGTGAGAGATTACTTGAAAGCTAAATCCGATTGGGGACAAAGCCACATTATAAATCTATTCGTTTGGTGCAAGATTACTAACCAATTACCGATTTAAATAATGTTGAGTGGCCTCTTAAGACCAATCTGGATCACATGTTAATGTGTCTGATTATGTGTTATGTCCGATTAATCTCTTAAAAATATAATGTTCTTATTATATGAATTTTACTCAAATGTACGCTAGTTTCGTCTTGAGAAATGACAGATTTATGTGGCCGCCCTACACAAGAATCTCATATATTTTAGACGGTGGGACCCTTCACCCCAATATTTCACCAAATGCCATCAATTATGTAAAGGATTTGGATTGTTTGCTCTCCTCATCTCATATCCTTCACATCCCTTCCTATTTCTGTGGTCACGGTTAAATCACGTCAACATTTTACATTCTCATTGCTTTTTGTCTTATTATTTCTATAAAAAATCAATATAAAATATTGACGTGATTTAACCATAACTACATAAATAGAAAAGGATGAAAAATGGATGTGACGGGAAAGGCAGACAATCTAGGTACATATGTAAAAGGACGGCTTACCGGATTCATGATGAAAGAGGTCCATTCCGTTGGACGCAGTGACTCAATGATTTAAGTTATTTACTTTATAAAGTAGTGGTGCACAAATTTAAACTGTTGCACCTTTAACTTATTTGTTGTTTGGTTCTCACTTTTAATTTATGATTTATCAGATTTCTTTTTATTACAACCGATATTTTTATAAGTAGTACAAAAGTATTAAAGGATTTGTTTAAAATTACTTTTAAAATGGCTGGAACTGTTTTTAGTAAATATACTTTTATATCAATTTTCAGTAAAAATACAAATGAAATTTGGAAAACACTTTGATTCTTACAAGAAGTACATAGCTAATACTTCTTATAGGAAGTACATAACTGGTGTTTCTTACATGAAACACTTCAAGTGCTTTGAAACAAAAAAATTATTTCTTCTAAAGGCGATTTTAATTATTTTAAAAACATTTCCAAACGAGCTTTAAAGTATTAGCAATCACACACACACTATGCATGTGAAACATAAAACAGGAGAAATAAAATAATTGAGTGAAAAAATACTTATATGTATTTAATACAACTATTACATCAAATGTTATATTTAATCTTCTAATTTAATTATATTCACATGAATTATACATGATCGTCAGATAATTATTGTATCTTTAGGGCCGATTTATGTTTTATTTTTAGAAAGTTGGTTTCTATCACCAAAAGGAAAAGAAAAAATGGCTTTGGGCCGTTTCAAGGTCATTTTGTTGTCGATTTTTGGGCTCAAATCACAAATTGAAGCCCATTTAAAAAATGTCTGCACCCGCCGACCCAAATGCAGCCCAAAAGAAGCAGTTTTCCTTCCTTCCCTTCTTTCTTCGTTCCATCGTTTTCTGTCTGTGTTGTGTGCCTCTGCGTGCTCCAACAGAATCTCACACCCAGTTTTTCCAAAGGTGCGAACTTGCTTTTGATCTTATAAACGCTTTTTTTTCACCGTCGGATTGAATCCGTCGACCAGGAGGATGAAACTGGTGTTTCTGAATCTGTTTGCTAAGCATTCCAGAATCTGAAGAAGTACAATAAAAAAAATTATGATTTTGTTTGTTTTTTTTTTTTTCCTACCAAAACGGTGACTGAAATGTGATTACTGTAGTTGCTTCGTGTGTTTCGATTTGTTTTAAATTTCTTGATTTGGGATTTCAAATGGGTAATTAAATTCTTGATTTTGGATTTTAAAGACAATTCCTTTCCTGCGTAGTTCAAATTTAGACTTTTGTTTATGTAAAATACAATCAAGAGAAACGTTAAGGGACTATTTCAAAAGTAGAACTCTTCATGGACTCTATGTCGCCTCACACTCTAACATCAATTACCGATGTTGGCACGGAAATTGATGTTAAACTGTGAGGCGACGGAGTCTCATTTTGAGAAAGTCCCTTAGCATTTCTCTATAATCAATAACGAGGCTATAATTAAAGACAAGAGCTTCCTTATATAATGTGTTAATAACAATGTTTTTTTTTTTTTTTGAACAAATTGTTAGTAGCAATGTTAAGTGTGGAGGTTTACCTTATTCATTCCACCATGTGAACTTAATTAGAGTTTTTTTCCTCGCAAGATTTTATTATCTTTTTAGGTTCATATGTTATTAACTGTTTTTGCTACTGAGGGGATCGTGTTTGTTGACGTGATGCTCTCCATTCCGTTGTGTTGGTTGTCTTGTTATCGGAGATAAGTTAGTAATGTTTACCGCAACAGATTTATTTGCAAAGTTAAGCATTTTTATTTGAGCTTGAACTTCCCCCTGGGTGATAACTTGTACATATTTACGTACGGAGCTGCATTTATCTTTCTTTGTACCTGTTGATATTCAGGTTTCAGAATCACGTCAACAAGTGCGGTCTTAAAATGGATTACGGTGCTGGTCATGAAGCGAGTGTATCTGGCAATGATGTTAATGTTGATGACCTGGAAGTGGAATCGAGTATAGCTTGCAATCTCGGAAGTGTCTCTTCTGATGGTGTGGTTGTTGGAGAATTAAGACATCTTGGCGAGGTTCTGACCCGAGTGGAACTAGATCTAGCATGTGCATCTGAGAAGTTAGTTAATTTAAATGTTCTTATGATGCGTGTGGCAACCAAGGAGAGCGAGTTTGAAGCCTTTGCTTCCGAGGAAGAGCATACATCAGCTTATTATCTTGAGAAGGCTATGGAGCTCAGTCTCTTATTTGGAATTGTAGACGCGGAGTTGAGTGAATTGGAGAAACTCATGGCTGTACTTCAAACAGAGATCACCAGTGCCCAGGGGATACTATCTTCATACACGTACTTGGGAGAAACTGTCGCGGTAATTGAAGAAAAGCTGCGCGACTCTGAACAATCATTGAAGCAGTTGCAAGATCAGGCCTATGAAATTAGGATGGAATCCTTGAATCTCCAGAGGGCATTTCCATGTTTTGATGGAGAACGAAATTGTAAGCTACAACCCTTAATTCGGTTCTTGATTTTCTTGTCAGGACCACGTTTTTCTCATTCTTATTTTGTTTATGAGTGATGGAGTTGCCCGAAATTTGTGGCATACGCCAGGCAGGTTTTATAACCACTTTGGTGCGCACACAAGTCCTTGAAGTCGTGAAATATTCTAGAGTATAACTGTTTATTTTCTTTTGCATTCTAATGCATAGTGTATTGACAGGGAATGATAACGAAGAAGTGGTTGGTTTAGAGGATGACAAAGTTTCGAGCACGAATGTAAAGATAAAAATGCAATCTGTTGAACAGCAAAGACATATTCTGAGGATGCTAGAGAAGGCTTTGGCAAGAGAGATGGATCTTGAAAAGAAACTGACCAAATCAAAACAAATTGAAGAAGATCTGAAACTGAGGGTGGACTCTTCAGAGCAAGAAGCATATTGCATGGAGGAGGAAGCAGCAGATGCTTTGGGTAGGTGGTTGCAGGCAGATAATGCATCCGAGGTCCTGATGGGTATTTCAAAAGAGCTATTGGGTAGACTCCAGGTTCTCCAGTTTAATTTAAATGGTTCAGCTCAGCGAGAAGCTGAGCTGAGATCAAAACTCGACTGTCAGGCTGAAGCCAAAGAAAACACATTGCGGAAGCTTGAAAGCAGCAACGCAAAACTAAATAGCTTCCTTCTAGAACAGACAGCTGGCTTAAAAGACAGCTTGAAGGAAGCTGAAGATAAATTAATTATTGCCAATTCCGAGGCCTTTACTATGAGGGAAAAGGTGGGTGCACTTGAGGAGCAGCATAATGTTGAAGTCAGTGAATTGGAAAATGCTATTGCTGATCTGAAAGAAAATGTATCAAAAGCTGAAGCTAGGGCCGAGAATGCAGAAGCCAAAAGCAAATTACTAACAGAGACTAATACAGAACTTAATGAAGAGCTCGGACTTCTTAAAAGCGCTGGCAGTCCCTTGGAGATGGTGGATTCACTTGAGAGAAAGTTACGGGAATCTAATACCCGGTTACAGCATGCAGTGGCAACTGCTGAAGCTAGCCAGGAGAAACAGAATATGTTGTATTCTACAATCACTGACATGGACAGTGTGATTGAGGATCTAAAGCAGAAGGTTTTAAAAGCTGAAAATCGGGCTGACATAACGGAAGACAAGCGTATAATTTTATCAGAGTCCAATGCAGATCTAAATGAGGAAATAAGCTTTCTGAGGGGTAGATTGGAATGCTTGGAGGCATCTTTACATCAAGCCGAGGAAGTAAGAATAGCTACTGCGGCTGATATTGGTCTTCGGTCTAAAGTTCTTACAAATTTATTGATGGAACTTGCTTTTGAGAGAGAGCGCCTTCATAAGCAGGTATTCACCTATCCTATATTTGATCAATTTTTCAAGTTCAGGGTTGGTTTTTGACTATGAAGTGGGAAATTCTCTTTTAGTTGTTTCTTTCACATGACTTGGAACCCGACTTCTTTTTTCGTTTTGGTCACTTAATAGTATTTGGGTCAAAAATGTGGGTAGTGTGTTTTTCCAACTCTAGAAATGTTCACCTTAGCTGCTGGTGATTGAATGTGCAGATCTCTTCATTAGCAATGGAGAATAAAACTTTAAAACTGAAGTTGCAAACAAACAATTCTCGTTCTGTGGTCATCGGAAATGATGACAGAGAAAATTGTAAAGACTCGAAGCATGAAATGGCTACTGGTGCAAGAGAAACTAAGGAAGAAGATGAGTTGGCTGCTAGCAATTCTAAGGTCAGTACTATGATGAACCCTGTTTGACACTTTTGCTTGCTTTCTTAAGGGAACACTACCCCAACCTACATGCTCCACTCAGAAAGCTTCAACATACAAGCTTCAACAAAAGAAAATTCAAAGAACTTAGCGAAGAAGGCTTTGGTGTATCTAACACAATACGTTGAAATGAAGGAAAGCTTATTTATTGATATCCCCGATAAGCTACAAATATGTACATATACACGAGTCAAAATAAACACACAAGAGGGAGCCTTCACAAAGGTTGCTTAGGAGAAGTCTCAGCAGTCGGTAGAGCCCCAGAAAGAGAAGGCACCGGAGGGGGATCATTTGGAGCCTCAGTACTGGACAGAACCCTAGAAGGAGGAGGCATCAGAGGTTGATCATTTGGAGCTTCATTACGCGGTACAGCCCCAGAAGACGAAGGCAATAAATGCCTTTGGAACAAACCCACAAATCTCTGATGATCAAGTAAAACCTGACCATCAGTTTCCTTCATCTGGTCAAGCTTCCTCTTCATGTTTGTAGCATAGTCATGTGCGAGCCGGTGCAACTGTTTATTCTCATGCTTGAGCCCTCTAATCTCCTGTTTGAGACTCATCACTTCAGCCGCCAATGATTCAACTTGGCGGGTTCGAGCAAATAGGCGTTGGGCCATATTAGACACAGAACCTGCACACTGAACACTGAGAGCCAGCGAATCCTTAACAGCTAACTCATCAGACCGTTTGGAAAGTAGTCTGTTATCTTTGGGAGTGAGAAGGTTCCTGGCCACCACCGCAGCGGTCATATCATTCTTCATCACGGAATCCCCAACGGTAAGAGGACCAGTAGGGGAGACGAAGGATGGGCGCCATATGTTGTCTGGAGAAGGCGGGGCTGCCTCTTCAACAAGGTTCAAGTCAAAACGACGGTCGGAGGGGCCAGACATTTTCAAAGGTGTTGAAGAGAGAAGAGGTCGGACAAATCAAGATCTTAGAAGTGCAAGAATGAAGCTTCTACTGGTGGAGATTCAAGTGTGCTTTGGAACTTAATGTCAGCCCCTATAAAAATCTGCACTCGACGGAGCTTCAGAAATCGAAGAGGCGCCTGCTCAGAAATCGAAGAGGCGTTTGCTTTCTCAAAAGCTGGGCTGCTTAGAGATCACGAGGGTTGATCTCAGAAATCGAAGAGGCGTTTGCTTTCTCAAAAGTTGGGCTGCTCAAAGACCTCGAAGGCTGATCTCAAAAATCGAAGAGGCGCTCGCTTTCTCAAAAGCTGGGCTCCCCAGAGACCACGAGGGCCGATCTCAGAAATCGAAGAGGCACCTACTTTTCCAGCCTTGTCAGCACCTGTCACACGCACACTCAGCTTTGCGAAAATTATGGGCATTCTGTCGAAGACTTCTGGGGAAGTAGAAAACACATGAATCTTACTGTTCAATCACCCACTTCCCACACGCAACAATAGCTCATGGGTACCACAGATAACTTTGCCAAAGTTCTCTGCCAAAGTTGAGCACGTGAAGCTTGCAGCTCCTACTACATCGCTCCCATAAATTTTGAAGGTCTAGCTACCATATTATTACCCACAAGGGTAAAGGAACAGTACCACTGCTGGATAATTAGAAAGTCCTTGTGTGTCAACCTCTGTGCTTCGTGGCAAGGTAGACTAGCAAACATGCCCAACCTTTACTCACATTCGAGAAAACACTCCCAATAAGATTGCTTGCTCCAAAATCGAAGAGGCACCGTCCTCCGAATCTCGAGAGCCAGACTCTCAACATGACTACTTTCTTAAAAATCGAAGAGAGGGTAAAGGAACAGTACCATTGCTGGATAATTGGAAAGTCCCTGTGTCTCAACCTCTGTGCTTCATGGCAAGGTAGACTAGCAAACATGCCCAACCTTTACTCACATTCGAGAAAACACTCCCAACAAGATTGCTTGCTCCAAAATCGAAGAGGCACCGCCCTCCGAATCTCGAGAGCCAGACTCCCAACATGATTACTTTCTCAAAAATCGAAGAGACACTGCTCCCCGAATCTTCGAGAGCCAGACCCCCAACATGATTGCTTTCTCAAAAATCGATGAGGCATCGTTCTCCGAATCAATCGAAGAGGCGCTCGCTTTCTCAAAAGCTGGGCTGCTCAGAGACCACGAGGGCCGATCTCAGAAATCGAAGAGGCACCTACTTTTCTAGCCTTGTCAGCACCTGTCACACGCACACTCAGCTTTGCAGAAATTATGGGCATTCTGTCGAAGACTTCTGGTGAAGTAGAAAGCACATGAATCTTACTATTCAATCACCCACTTCCCACACGCAACAATAGCTCATGGGTACCACAGATAACTTTGCCAAAGTTCTCTGCCAAAGTTGAGCACGTGAAGCTTGCAGCTCCCACTACATCGCTCTGACCAAGAAAGGTAAAAGAATAACAAAGAAACAGCACTAACAAAGTTTAGACACATAAATTTTGAAGTTCTAGCTACCATATTATTACCCACAAGGGTAAAGGAACAATACCACTGCTGGATAATTGGAAAGTCCCTGTTTGTCAACCTCTGTGCTTCGTGGCAAGGTAGACTAGCAAACATGCCCAACCTTTACTCACATTCGAGAAAACACTCCCAACAAGATTGCTTGCTCCAAAATCGAAGAGACACCGTCCTCCGAACCTCGAGAGCCAGACTCCCAACATGACTACTTTCTCAAAATCGAAGAGAGGGTAAAGGAACAGTACCATTGCTGGATAATTGGAAAGTCCCTGTGTGTCAACCTTTGTGCTTCGTGGCAAGGTAGACTAACAAACATGCCCAACCTTTACTCACATTCGAGACAACACTCCCAACAAGATTGCTTGCTCCAAAATCGAAGAGGCACCGCCCTCCGAATCTCGAGAGCCAGACTCCCAACATGATTACTTTCTCAAAAATCGAAGAGACACTGCTCTCCGAATCTCGAGAGCCAGACCCCCAGCATGATTGCTTTCTCAAAAATTGAAGAGGCATCGTTCTCCGAATCTCGAGAGCCAGATACCACAGACCACTTTTTCAAAGTGCTCTGACAGAGTTAAAACATGTGAAACTGGCAGCTCCCACTACCGTGCTATGACCAAGCAGGGTAAAGGAATAGCATTACTACTTGTTAGGGAGACTCCTATATATGTCGACCTCCATCCCCAACAGACAGGCAGACCTGCAAAAATGCTCAACCCTTCATCATATCTGAGAGGGCACTCCCAACGAAGCCTTTCGAAATATTCAGCTTTCTTTCCCCCCGATAATACCTCTGCAAACAAGCTATACTAGATCAAGAATATCTCATATCATCAGGGTTAAAAGCAAGAGTATCCCATATCATGCTTTTTCCCTGTCTTTTCCTTTGGCCTTGTTTTTACCTGCAAGACAAGGAGAAAGAGAGCAATCAGTCAGTACTTGGAATCAAGCTTCCAGCCAGGAACTGACTGCCTGGAACCCCTTACCTGATTACTTACCTGGCATTGCTCTCGAGTACTCATCTTCAACATCTTATGTTTCCAGGGAAGATTCCGCATCTGCTTGAGGAACAGATAGGGCAAGTGCGAAGGATACAAGGAAGCATGTGGAGACAAGCGTAACAGCACACGTGCCGATACATCCATTACTCTGTCAAAAGCAAAAGTATCTCATATCAGCAGGGTGGAACGTACTCTAGATTTGATGGACTTGTTTTGACCCTCAAATTCTTCAGTCGGCCTTATACTCTGGAGGAAACCAGAAAACCCTCGAGCTCAGTTCAAGAATAAGCCTGTGGAAAGTTACTTCTTCAAAAGCAAAAGTATCTCATATCATCTCTTCTCATTTTTCTTCTCTTTATCCTTCATGCTGCTGCAAGATGGGGAGAAGGTGAACAATCAGTCGGAGCTCTGATTGCTTACCTTGTCTGTCACCTCTTTCAGCAGACCCCTAGCTCGGCGACTTGGGGGACTCTTACTACATGGTTTGTATCGCGCTTGACCAAGCCTGAAACTACAAGTAAGCTTCAAGTGAAATTGATACATTACCTTGTGCATCTCCACCAGTTAAAGATACCACCCCTGGATGGAGGAAGAGTACTTCCAGAGAAGATGCCACATCTACCTATGAGACAGATAAGGCAAGTCAAGACGACACCACACTCCGATACTTAGAAGTTTCGTGATTACGAGATCATTCTCCCACAATATTTCCTAATGTCATTTGTACTAAATCATTCACTTGTACTCACTAAAGGAGAGCTTGAACCTATGTACTTGTGTAAACCCTTCACAATTAATGAGAACTCTTCTATTCCGTGGACGTAGCCAATCTGGGTGAACCACGTACATCTTGTGTTTGCTTTCCTATCTCTATCCATTTATATACTTATCCACACTAATGACCGGAGCAATCTAGCGAAGATCACAAAAAGCGACCGTTTTCGCTACCTAGGATCTATCTTGCAAGAGAACGGAGAATTAGATGGAGATCTCAACCATAGAATACGAGCTGGATGGATGAAGTGTAAGAATGCATCCGGCGTGTTGTGTGACCGTCGTAGGCCACTGAAGCTCAAGGGAAAATTTTATAGGACGGCAATAAGGCCAGCAATGTTGTATGACACAGAATGTTGGGCGGTGAAGCATCAACACGTACACAAAATGGGTGTAGCGGAGATGAGGATGCTTCGTGGGATGTGTGGGCACACGAGAAAGGATAAGATTGGGAATGAGGATATCCGAGGTAAAGTAGGAGTAGCCGAAATTGTAGGAAAGATGAGAGAAAATCGGCTCCGGTGATTTGGACATGTGCAAAGAAGGCCGAATGACGCTCCGGTTCGAAGATGTGACTACGGGACAGAGGTTCAGGGCCGAAGGGGTAGAGGAAGACCTAGGAAAACTTTGGAAGAGACTCTAAGAAAAGACTTAGAGTACTTGGATCTAACGGAGGACATGACACAAAACCGAGCGCAATGGCGTTCTAGGATTCATATAGCCGACCCCACTTAATGGGAAAAGGCTTTGTTGTTGTTGTTGTTGTTGTTGTTGTTAATTTCTCATGCTTCAGGAATGCTTTTATTTTTTCGCCAAGCAATTTAACTTCATATTTAGTGTTCTCATTTTTTTATTGACCAAAAATATATTTCTCTTCGTATCTTCTGCATGTTGTGTTTTCTACTGAGATTTACGTTTGTAAAATGGCTTCCGTATTTGTACATTTCAGCTGGATAGGACTCAAAAAAAGGCATCTGTTGGTGAGAGTCGTGAGACTAAAGTGGAACATACTGATTCTACATCCAAGTTCGAGACTGTGAGGAGAATAGATGCAGGAGTGCTAAGCTTTAAGCATTTACTCATGGGAACAATCATTCTACTGGTTTCGGCTGGAGCTTATTTCCTTCTCCAACAAGACAGCCCATTTTGATGTTTTGCTGCAGTAGAAAGAAAAAGGAAAAAGTAGGCTTGCATTCTGAATTTGTTCGGGGAGATGTGATGCAAGGCATTGTACCTAAGGTACAATTCAGAGGAGATGCGATGCGATGCGTTGTACCTGAGGTATGATTTTGAACCGAAGTTATATGCTGACTGCCCTTCAGCAACCGAGGCATAGCACGATACTTTTTGATATCCGCTTTTGTATTGTAAAATCTCCGGTAGCGTTAATAGTACTGCTCGTCGAAGGGGGAAATTTTTGCTGTACTGAATTTTCGTTGAAACTTGTTTGGTAATTAGGTGGTAATTACTTGTATCATGAATGTAAACACAGGAAACTTCTTCAATGGTAGTTAACTTTTTACCACTATTCTCAAGGCGGAGTAATGCGTTAGGATTATGATACGTCGAAGGGCTGCCTCCTCTCTTTCCCTCAGCAAGGCAGGGCCTTAAGAACAGATTTGTGTTGGAATTTTTAGGGTTGTTTTCATTGTAGGTGCTATATACATACCAAATATTTGGGTAGCTTTTGGGTTCAGGGGTGCAACCATGGGAGGCTGGTTTGCATTTGTTTTTCCCTGCTTCCATCACTCTCAAGTGAGTCAATTTTTTTGCTTTCTTCAACTAGAGTTAACTCACTTCATTTTTTTAGAACTAATTTACAAACTTTTAATCGAAAACAGAACTGGAAGAACACTAAACCGACCATAAGTCATAGATAGGGAAATGATTTCCATACTCTCTTTTAGCTTCTTCATTTCACCTGCCAATTACGTCCCTCAAATTTTCATTTTATGCAATCCGATTCCAATCCAATGACTAGAAAAGAAGAGAGGAATGCAAAAGGTGAAAAGAGAGTGTTGAATTCACTTCCCATTGTAGATAAATCGCAATATAGTGCTCCTTTATTGTAAACTTAGCATCTCTCAAGTTCTATTCTCATTTAAAAGTTTGTAACCAGTTTCTTTTGTGTATAAATTCCGAATTATTGTGAGGTATTGACTTTCCTGATATCATATTCCCTATTGATTTTGGTGTGTTTCAGGGATCCTCATTGTATAGCAACTACAACGGACAAGATTGATTACAGCATTAGAACTAGAATTTGGTTCTTCAAGTATAAATTCACACATCTTTATTCCGTTTCAACAACTTGGTACCTTTTGCTCTTTACATTCGAAAGAACCGTGTCATACAAGTAAAACTCGTCTATCAGTCAATTGATAAGAGAGAAAAATAATGGTATGAAATAGGATTCGTTTTTTTTCCTCATTCGCTCATAAGGCGGTAGGGAGATCTTTTTAAACCAAATGACGTGGGTGTAGATGATTAGATTATTAACTAAATGTCGATTAACGTGTTTGTTTCTTATTGGTAACATGTCATTTAGGTTAAAATTTCAGTTTAAAAATTTAGTACCCTAACTTATTCTCTTATTAAAGATCATTTTAGCCAAAAGCCATAAATGACTTAATTTCAGCCTCTATTTGCTGAAATGATCATTTTTTACCTTTTAGTATGTCGTTCATTTATCATTGTGTCGCCAAAATTTCAACGATGCGTCGATATATAATCAATATATCATGAATTTTAAGGAGTTTAACAATTGAAATTTAATTTTATATCACTTTAGCCATAAACCCCTAAACCAGGAGAATTTTCAGTGCGACTGTTACACGAGATAGTATACTACGCGTCGCTATATAAATGGTGGGATAAGTGTATTAAAAATTTAATAACTTAAAAAGTAAAATTTTCCCCACTTACATAAAACACGTAGTGTACCACTCGTATTCCCGTCGCAACTAAAAATTTCTCCTAAACCAGACGAGGATAAATTGACACAGAATGTAAGAGAGATGGAGACGTGTGGGAAAATCATTTTGTTTTCTTAAGAAGGCATATGGAGCAAACCGGTAGGCGTGGCCTATTAATCATCCTCCGCCGACGGTGACCACCGGACCACGCGTCGCGATCTCAACATCTCTTGTAACTTGGAAACAGGAGTTTCTACTTCCTCGTACGGAACTCCACCTACAGTCAACAGCACGTGCAGTAAGCTTCTTCCATTTGTTTGACCTTCAACTTTAAATCTAATAAAAAAAACAAGATTTGGATGACGATGACGTTGCTGTCGTCGATCGTACTTTTGGAACTCGCACACAGATCATCAGCCTCACCTAACTACATTTCGTATTCCGGTCGAATGCGAACTCTCACTGACGAATGAACGATTCATGTACGCAAGCACGTATTTGTTTGACTGCTAGCTCAACTTCTTGAGTTCCACGGTTTGAATTTTCGGTCTTAAATTTTATGAACTCGCAGTTTTTTCATTTTTTTAAGTTCGATTTCTCCCAAGATTTGATAACCCAGTTGCCATTTTCGATTACAGTTCACAGTTCTGAACCAAAAACTTGGATCAAATTTGATGAACTGATAAAGTTTCAAGCTTTTGATGAGATTTGAGTTCGGCGTTGGAATATGATTACTAGAGAAGATGAAAGCCAAAGCACCCCATTGCTGCCCACGAGTGAGAACGCAGAAGTTGAAGCTGGGTTTGCCGAACCCAGCAAACCCAGCGGAGGAGCTTCGTTCTATGGATCTGTGTTTAACTTGTCATGCACGGTTATCGGTTCCGGGATCATGAGCCTACCTGCAACTCTAACCATACTGGGACTGATCCCCGGAGTTGCGCTGATCGTCGTTGCTGCATTCCTGACAGAAGCATCCATTGAGATGCTACTGAGGTTCAGCAAGCCGGGTTCGGTGTTTTCGTATGGTGATCTCATGGGGGAAGCATTTGGAAAAGTTGGGAAGGTTTTGGTTCAGATTTGTGTTATTGTCAACAACATTGGTGCTCTCACTGTGTATATGATTATAATAGGTGAAAATCTCAATGCCTTTTCTTCTTATGTTTATGTTATGATTTGTCTCTCTTGTCTTTCAGTTTGATTCTGAGTCCGCCTAATCTTTTAAAACGCGTCAATTTGAGTACTAAGGGAAAATTAGCGCGTTTTAAAATATTAGGAGGTTAAAGCCAAACTGAAAGACAGAGAGGGCAAAAGGGAAAGAGCCAATAAGTGCAGAGGTACGGCTAAATTTTTCCGTGTTCTAAGGCTCGAAAATTGTATGAATTTGCTAAGCTACTAGGTTAATTCTGTTTTTTGGTGGGCAGAGGATGTTCTTTCTGGTTCGACTTCAAGCGGAGTTCATCATGCCGGCATTTTGGAAGAGAGGTTAGGGGTGCATTGGTGGACCGGGCGTGCTTTCGTTCTGGTTGTCCTAACCGTTGTTGTATTTATTCCGTTGGTATGTTTTAAGCGCATCGGTTAGTATCTCTTTCGTTGTTGTAAGAATCTACAGATGTTAAGTACTTGTTTCCGTTTACCAACAAAAAGACCAATTTTTTAAGTTCTTTTCTGCAGATTCACTGCGATTCACGTCAGCTATATCGGTTGCGCTGGCAGTTGTTTTTCTCGTCGCTGTCATTGTGATCACAGTGTACAAATTCGTACTGGGAAGCATAGAGAGACCTGCATTGTTTCCCAGTGTCACTGATTTGCCTTCCTTTCTTAATCTTTTCACTGCATTCCCTGTTGTGGTTTTTGCTTATGTCTGCCACTACAATGGTAAGCAAATTGGTCCTCATTGAAGTTCCGTAACAAGATTATCATCGAAACATAATTATACGTTTGCGATCTCCTTCCAGCTTATATAATCCGATACATTGTGTGATGTCAAAAGATAAATTTACCGCATGTTGAAAAAGGGCAGTTAATCGCACCTATGTCAAACTCATAAGGCTATAAGACTGATTTGAGGCATGCTTTGGTTCTCATGATCCGGCGATTTTGATGCAGTTCACACCATACAAAATGAGCTCAAAGATACTCCAACAATGCCAGCAATCGTGCGTGCTACAGTTGCTCTCTGCGCCGTTGTGTATGTGATGACAGGCCTGTTCGGGTTCCTCCTCTTCGGTGACTCAACTCTTTCCGACCTGCTCTCCAATTTTGACACAGACCTTGGCATTCCATACAGCTCTGTCTTCAATGACATCGTGCGAATCAGTTATGCCGCCCATATTTTACTTGTGTATCCCATTGGTTTTTTCCCTCTCCGGCTGAACTTGGACGGCCTTCTCTTCCCCTCAGCCAGACCGCTGGCTTCAGACAACGTAAGGTTTTCGTTGATCAGCGCCGGAATCATTGCCATCACCCTCTTGGGTGCCATATTCATACCGAGCATATGGGTGGCTTTTGAGTTCACAGGTGCAACTGTTGGAGCTCTGCTTGCATTCATCTTCCCTGCTTGCGTTGTTCTCAAGTGAGTCCATCTTCCTTTCCTTTACGCTGAAATTTCTTGCACATAGCCACCTTACCTGCACATAAACTGGGATGCCTCTATGGCGGTATTTCCTCACCAATCAGACAATCACACGCCTAGCGTTTTAACCAATGCACATGTCTGTGCATGATTGATTTAGAAAACTGCTAAAACGGCTCTTCCAAGGTGTTTAAATCGTAACGCAACGACAATCTCACATTTTGTTTCCTCTCAAATCGTCGGAAAAATTAAGAAATTGAACATTTTGTTTCAGGGACCCTCACGGAATTGCATGGAGAAAGGACAAGATTTTGTCAGTGTTCATGATCATTCTCGCTGTAATCTCAAGTGTGGTAGCCATTTGTAGTGATGCATATTCATTGTTGACATAGCAGGGGCTCTCAACTTATCAATTGAAACATGTCATATATGTGTGTATAGATACAAAATAAATAAATACATAATTCAGCAATACGCAACTCCAGCCACTCCATCTTTTCAAACCCCTCCAAATCCCAATCATCCCAATTTCTACCCGTCCCCAACCCCCCACCACCACCTCCCCTACCACCCACAACAACTTGGAAATTAGGAGAACCTTATCCCGTGACAACGCACCATCAAAAAGACCCAAAAGAAATCATGACAATATTTCTTTTTAGAAAAAATTCATGATAATATTAAAATTGTGATTCTGCACATGTATCGTACACTCAATAGTCCAACACAGTTAAATTTAATTGGTCGACAATTTTGATAAAACTCAGACGTGTTAAAAAGGCTGTTTGGAAGAGGGAGTTGTTGTGCGGCCTGAAAAAAGTCAAGAGAGTGGTAATGATGTCTAAAGACCTTTGGGTTTTCGTTGTGGGTGGTAGAATTAGGGGTGGTTGAGGTCTTGAAAGAAAGGGTGGCCGGAATTTTCTAGTGCTAGAATTTTACTTTTTTTAATTTTTTTAATTTGCATATAACAAGAGAATTATTAAGCGTATTTGAAATTTTGAAATAAAGAATAATAAGTTAAATGTAAAAATAAGATAAATGAATCCGAATAAAAAATTTCAAAATAAAAAGAAATAAACTGCTTCACACACAAAAGCGAACCCAAATCAGTCAGGTCCGTACCGAGCCCAAAGTTCCAAATTCCAATGGCTGCTGCTGCGAAGGAAGAGCAAAAAGGCGAGCTCGCCGAGTCTATCAACGATCTCTTCGGTAGCGTCTCCGCCATGGTCAAATCGGAGCTCCAGGGATCGACCAACCACCTCGATCTCCTCGAAAAGATGAACCTGCGAGTCGCCGAAGAGTACAAGGGATTCGGCGACGTGGCGGCGGGGCTGAGCGTGTTCGTGGAGCAGCTCAAGGCCAAAAGCGGCAGCTTCGAGGAGTACGTGAAGCAGATCGACGTCATCGAGCAGCAGGTGACGGAGTTCGAGGCCGTGATTTCGGTGCTCGACAGATACGTGTCCATGTTGGAGTCCAAAGTCCAATCTGTTCATCAGAATCCTCCGCCTTCCTGAATTCGAAAGTGTCTCTGAAAATTGTTCTTTTGATTTGTTTGAATTTTGTGGCATTGTGTACATTTTGAAACGAGGTTTCCCCAAAAAACTTCGGAATTTGAGATTGCTTTAGGTTGGTTGAAAGTACTTCTGCTAAAAATGCTTTTACTAGAAGCACAATAAAGTTTTTATCTTAAATCTGAATGCTTGTCACAAAAGCGCTTGGAAATGCTCCATGAAACCAGATAATTATTTTTCGCTGAGCATTGTCAGAAGCGCTTTTACCAATTCCAAAAACATTTCCGAACATGCTCAAGTTTTGGCAACTCTAGAACGAGGTTTGCTTTGAACGGTCCTCCCTGAACATGATCGTGAACAACTGTCAAGCGTTGAAGCCACTGTTTTAAAAATTCCCGCTAGCGCTAGACGGTTAGCCACCATCTCGATTAATGCCTAAGAGTTTGAAAATTAAGAAATGATGCCTAGCCCGTCCAGACCCACCTAGGCACCTGCTTAGGTTGTGACACGCTTAGACAGAAAATAGATAACTTTCATTTTACATTTTATTTTTTCAATAAATTGTAAGAGACTTGTCAGAAGCGCTTTTACCAATTCCAAAAACATTTCCGAACATGCTCAAGTTTTGGCAACTCTAGAAGGAGGTTTGCTTTGAACGGTCCTCCCTGAACATGGTCGTGAACAACTGTCAAGCATTGAAGTCACTGTTCTAAAAATTCCCACCTAGGCGTTAGACGGTTGGCTACCGTCTCGATTAATGCCTAAGAGTTTGAAAATTAAGAACTGACGCCTATACCACCTAGCCCGTCTAGACCCACCTAGGCACCCGCTTAGGTTGCGACTCACTTAGAGAGAAAATAGATAACTTTCATTTTACATTTTATTTTTACAATAAATTGTAAGAGGCTTGTTGAATACTTAAATGAATACACATTATATGCATGTTCCCAATGTTTTCATTATGTACCAATATCTTCTAATATATATGTCATTTTATTTTGTAATTTATAATGAAATGATATATATTTTAAGTATAAACAGACACTTATTTACACGAAATATAATAAATTTACTTAAATCCGCCTAGCCGCCAGGCCCTAGCTCACCGCCCTACTAGCGTCTAACGTCTTTTAGAACCTTGGTTGAAGCACAAATCAATTAAGCACGTGAGCGGACACGCTAGCATTCGCCATCCATAGATGGTCATAGAAGTAATATGGTAAAATTTACAAGTATACAGCCAACTGGTTCATGTCATGAACAAGAACAATACGTGATTCTGTTACCTTTTTCCTGTTCCGACATCAGTTAACTGCGATAATAAGAAAACTTGTTACTTGTTTTGTAACGAGAAGGCTGCGGCTTCTTCTTCCGTCTCTGCAAATTTTGCAACATCATAGCCCGGGTTTTCCCATCGGGTTGCAGACCGCTCTCGCGCATCTTCGTGTAAAGCTTCTTTGCTAGTTCTGTTTTGCCTCGTAAGCACATTCCTTGAATGACAGCGTTATAGAGCGACGCATCTGGTGCAGCACACTGCAGAACAAAGTACACATTGTAGAGGTCAAATAACCTCGAAACAACAATGTCGATAAATTTCTTCCCAATATAAGCGGGGATATCGACAAAACAAAACACAGGTGAAGCGAAGTAGGTTTCATCAATAAAGTTAAGCATTACTGGCAGTTGGAAAACGGTAGGAAAAACAAATGATCCAGTTTTCGGGTTCACTAAAAAGAGTTTGTTTTATACATGATTTCACGAGAAATTAAAGAAAACTAACACAACCCTGAAAAATTAAAGAAACACAAAAACTTACGTTAAGGATTTCCTCGACTTCATCCCAGAGAGAACCCCAAATGCAACCTCGTATTAGTGACAGATAAGTAAATGTGTCTGCGGTGCATTTCTGGTGAACCATGTGCTCGTAAACTTGCAGCGCAACTTCAGGTTTCCTTGCTCTCTCACAAGCACCGATTACAAGATTATATGACGCAGTAGAAACTGACTGCCCTGAAGCTTCTAGTTGCCATAAAAGCTTTAAAGCTTTATCCCATAGACCGAGCTTCGAACAAGACATTAAAGCCGTATTGTACAAATGCGAGTTTAACTGAGAGCCCTGACTTGTCTTGATACTCTCATAAAGCTTAAGAGCTTCACCGTGTCGATTTGCTCTATACAGTGCACCAAGTAATGCATTCCATGTGTAAGTGTCGGGTGAATGACCCAAAGATTTCATGATGTTATATACCTTGAATGCTAGTTCAACCTCCCCAGCTTTCCCAAGTGAATTTATCAATGCATTGAATGCAACTGGATTTGGCTTGAGTCCACTGTTCAACATATTATCGAAGATGTTTAGCGCAATATCCCACTTTCCGTCTTTTGAGCATGCACCGATGATAGCGTGCATTGTATCATCCCCTGGTTCAAAATTATTTTGAATCATTTCATCGTAAGCATCAAGAGCTAGCTCATGCTGGCCACAACGAACAAAAATGCTAACTAAGAGGCAATAAGTAACTCGTGTTCCAGCATGGTCATTGTCCTTAATACTTCTCCACAATCTCTCGGTTTCACGCCAATTGTTCACTTTACCACAAATCGATATCATAGTGTTATAGACGATGGTATCAAAAGCATCTCTTGCTTCGCTTTCCTCTTCCATTGCCAAAAACATTTCGATAGCAGAGTCACAGCCCTCAACAACAGAAACTGCCTTAAGTAGCAAGCTATAACTATGCCCCGTGGTCAACTTCTTTCTCTTCATAAACTCAAAAACCCTCAAACCGTCATCAAGCAACCCGTTTCTCAAGAGGCAAGACAACAGCGAATTACAAGCATGTAAATTAGGAAGAAGGCCTGATAGTTCCATGGAAGTAAACAGTTCCAACGCACTTCGAGTCTTATTTGTTCTACTAAGCACCAAAATCCGCTTCGATAATGTTTCTTCATCCATCTCCTCCAGATAACCAACCCTGTCCACATTCAATGTAGCCTTCCTGTTCAAATTCGACTTGGGCTGGATCACAACCTCAGGTTCTACATCCAAGTCCTTGTCAAATTCCAACTCTCCCCAAGGAGGCAATTTTTGCTTAACAAAAGCAGCATCATCACCATATCCCCGGTTTCGAATCAATTTATCTTCTTCCTTTTCCTCACAAACCAACTCAGATTGCACACCAGCCACCATGTTCTGCAATGTCAGAGATTTCGCCTTCCTTGGCAACAACAAATTGGGCAACCACATGGAAACTAAGCACTTTTGAGAAAGCCGAAAGCCGATTTTACGGTTACAACTCGTTGGACTACATGGTTTGTGTTGGAGATTAAACCCATTTGCATTAATCACTATGGAAACTGAAACCCTCATCACCTCCCCCATAAACCCAGAATTAAAAACTAACACACGAACACATCAAGCTTACAAATTTGGTATTTCTTCGATCATACGAACTGGGTTTTGTGATACAACTCACCTGAACAGCATGACCCAATTGAAGAATTCTAAGCTTCCAGCACCACAGCAGCTTTCTGAAGCTCCAAGCAAGTATTTTGCGATACGAAAATTCTAAATTGCAGGGACTGCTTGGTAACCCAGAAAAATACCGAGAAAATCCGGAAACTGGAAAATTGTATCTTAAATTCAATACTTTAAGAGCCACCCAGTTCAAACTTGGTAGATTATGCTCTTCTTCTTCTTTGTATACAGAAGAGCAAAATATCTGCATTTTTCTGAGAGGTACCCTGTTAAATCTCCATACGACGGCGTTTTACAGAATATTTTAAATTTGCAGAAGTAGGATCTGAATTTTTTCAATTTTGTGGAATCACCCCATCTGCATTTAACTTTTTTCATAACTAACCACCTAAACTTCACCTCAATTTGGTACCCAAACTTTTTAGGGTTTGTTTTCACAAAGGCATTCCTTGTCATTTATCACGATCTTGTACGGTAGTGAATAGTTATATCCAAGCTAATCTTTATCTTCTTTATCAAACGAGGCCGAAGGAGATTAAAGTCGACAAAAGTGCTAAATTGTAATAAATAATTTGTTCAGTTGGTAATTACGCAAATTAAAAAAGTGAAGTGTCATTTGTGACGTTACAAATAAGCGCCAAAATACCAACCCGGCCCAGAGGCCCAACCCATTAAAATTTGGCGGTCGGCGCCTCTCCAACTTCCCTACGACTTCGCCGCTCTTTCTCTGAACTCCAATGACGAACGCCATGGGTCCTCCGCCAGTCCTCGACTCCGAAACCCTAAACACCGAACCGGCCGGAACGTCGTCGTCTTCGACCACAATGAAGCCCCCAATGGGTCCCCCGCCTTCCAAAAACCCTAGCCCTCCGCCTCCACCACAGTCCGAATCCCCAATCCCCGAAGACCAGCTCCAATCCAGTCCCGCCGTTAACGATTCAACCGAAGCAGCCGAAGAAAATGCCAAGCAGTCCTCAAACTCGAAGCCGCAATCTCACAGCGTCCCGATTCCGTACACGATTCCGCCCTGGAATGCAGCTCCGTGCCACCAGTTCCAGCTCGAGGTTCTCAAGGACGGTGCTATCATCAACCAATTCGATGTGTAAGCTTCTTCCTCTTCTTCAAGTTTCAAATTTCAAGATTTTAGTTGTTTGTGATCGAAAATTTCGAATTTCTGTTGTGATTGAAAATTTTGAACTTTCAGATACGAGAAAGGAGCGTACATGTTTGGCCGAATCGACCTCTGCGACTTTGTGCTGGAGCATCCGACTGTTTCTCGCTTCCATGCCGGTAATTAACGGCCTCTTTCGCTTTGCATTTTAGCTTGTTTGTTGTGGTTTTGTTAAATAGATTCAATAAAATTCGTGGGCTTGTTGCATTGTAATAGATTTTGGTGCCAAATCTTTTATAACATGTTAATTTTATGTTTTCGCTCTTTTGTTCAGTTCTTCAGTTCAAGAGAAGTGGGGAGGCGTATATTTACGATCTTGGGAGTACTCACGGCACTTTCGTTAACAAGAATCAGGTACTTATATGCAGATGATTGCTTTCCTCGCTTTTAATCCATGCCGTTTGGTCCAAAAATGCAAACACGTATTGACCTGGGAAATCTTAGAGTTGTTTTCAAATTAGTAATTAACTTTGCAGTGTGGATGGCGGGGGTTTTGTTACACTCTATATGCAAAGGCTCTGGATTGTTCCTAATGGT